GTTGGTCACTGAATGGAAAGATCTGTGCGTCTAGAGCTTGGTGTCTCTGACAGAGTTATAGGTTGGGATTGGGTTTCATGAGCAGAGGGGAACATTATTCGATGTTTTACTGCTGTATTTTGAGCTCAGTGATGGGAACACTAGAATAAAATAGATAATAGTATAGGTGTCTCTGATGAAATAAGGTCTGAAGTGATATTTACAGCATCTAAGAATCGCTTATTATTGTCCTGGGGAGGTAGGTCGATTGGTAGATATCTTTTATGCATGCCTGAAATACATGCATCATCCCCAACTCTGCAGGAATAGACAAGTAGTGGGAGCAGGAGATACATATACTTGAGTTATGATTGAATAATGAATGTGTACATTAATTGAAGAATAAATGTGGCTGAGATCATACCTCGACGGTACAGTATTGCATGCATAAAACTCAAAGACTGATCCTGAATAATTAAGCAATTTTGTTACATGAATACAAATAGTATCTCAGATTATTGTATGCTCAAAATAAAAGCACATTGAAGATCTGTGTTCAACACTTCCAAGTCATCTACTCACCACACAGGGTAGTTCATTGTCATTCAAAAGGCACTCCCACCTCTTCTGTGACTTCCCTAAGGCACCAGGTGAGCTAATTCCTTTCTGTGCCACATTCTTCTGCTCTCCAGATTGGCAAGGAGTTTCCTTTCTCTGCCCAGCAGCTAGGTATACTCTTTCTTTCTTTTTAAGATTTATTTATTTATTATGTATACAGTGTTCTGTCTGCACACACCCCTGCAGGCCAGAAGAAGGCAACAGATCTCACTACAGATGGTTGTGAGCCACCATGTGGTTGCTGGGAATTGAACTCAGGACCTTTGGAAGAACAAGCAGTGCTCTTAACCTCTGAGCTCACAACCAAAAATGCTCTTTCTTACAAAGAAAAAAAACCACATGGCCCTTTAGAGACTTCCCTTCCTTGAACTACCAGGTAGTGCAGCCCCTTCATTTCTCATGGCCTACTCTTTTGTTGTGACCTCCCTCCTCTTCCCATCATGTTGTCTTTGCTTCTTTCCACATTTTAGGCAGTCTTCTTCATGTTCTTGCTTCTCTGAACTTCTGGGAACACATTGCTGTTGCATAAAATAGACCTCCCACTCCTCCAGGTTCCTGCCATCCAGTGCTACCAGACTCCCTGGCTTTTCCAGAACCATTCATCCCTATGCCTCCAACTGCACTTGCAATTTACTGAACATCAAGATGCCTGCAATGTTCTCACAGTCCCTGTGCCTCCTGTACTTATAAGCCTCATGACTATGCACCCAGCAGAGCTCACTCAAAGTAGGGCAATCAAACTTGGAGAGATACACAAGAAATCAAAGCAAGAGAGGACAATCACGTGGTATTCTGACACATGGTTAGTTCTGTTCATGTAAACAGGAATACTGGATAACAGTTCCACAAAAGAAATTAATGTCTCAACATTGCCATGACTTAATCTTCTGCTGAATGTTGTACAAGCCTGTAATGAAAAAATAAAGATGATTTTAACTAAAAGAAAACTCACCAAACAATTTCAAATGTATGAGAATCAGAACAAAGGACATGATGATAACACAGGAGCATCTTTCATGCAAAATGATCTATGGTAAAGGAAACAACCCATGTTTGGCAAAGGTAACATAATCATTGTCAGCACAGATGTTCTCTTCTGAAAAATATGATTCCTCAGATAATTGACATGATATCTCACATAGTGAGGAAAAGATATCTATCACAACCTTTCTATAAATTACAATGTAGACACATGGGGAATTGAGAATGGAATGTCATGTTTCTGTTTCAACATTTCAGAAACTTTCTATAACAAAACAACGCAATAGAGAAAAGATAGAAACAGAAAAAGAATTTGAGTCTGAATTTTTTTTCCATCACAGGCAATTTATTTTGTTCTATTCATTCACAGTTAATACAGAAAATACTTGGAAACATTTCCATATAATGTTTGA